TGTGTGTGTGTGTGTGTGTGTGTGTGTTTGTGTATATATATATATATATATATAAATAATCATGAGACCATTTTAATTGAGACACTTAAGTTTTTATTGATTTTTTAATGTATTTTTATCATTGATTGATTTTTTTATTTATGATCCTGAAGGATGACTCATTCTTCCTCAAATCTGGCGAAGATTTTGTACTTTGCTTTATGATCCATTTCTGTGCAGAACACCTCATAATCTTTTTGTTTCCCAAATACAAAAGTGAACAGTTCGGCTGGAGAACTTTCATCATATTCACCCATCCAGCTCTGCAATTTGCATTGGGATGCAAATTGTTGCTCTTTTTCCATTGAAAGGACAATGGGAAATTTTATTTTTCCATCCCAGTTTCTCTTGCTACACCAGTCAGCTGCAGTCCTGGCGTCTCTCAGAAGAAGGATTTCCTGCAGTAAATAACAAATATGGTCAAATTATTTCATGTATACTGATGTTAATGCTTCAAACGTGTAGAGTACATAAAGCTGTTACAACATTTTTAAGAAATATATGATCTTTTGTTATAATGAATGCTGTCTATCAGTTCTTGTGTCATTTAAGACCTTAATGGATCTTAATGAAATCCAGTTCCTTCAGAATTAATTCATTTAACTGTTATGTATCATTTATCAGGAATCCCACAGATATTTGCCAGATATTTTATATTACAAAAATGTTATGTATCATTTATCAGGAATCCCACAGATATTTGCCAGATATTTTATATTACAAAAATGTTATTTCATTCATGTACCATGTTTATATTATTCTCCATTTTTATTATTTTTGATGACACATGAAAATTATGTAAAATGCATGTAGAATAATCAGCAAAAACATACAAAGCAAAGTCTCAAGGATCATTATTTAAGATTAATTATTTTTTTATGTTTGTGAATGGGTTATAGGCTTCCCCCATTTAGGTGTTGCCATTGAATAAATCAAGTGAGGTAAATTTTTTGGGGGTTGTTAAAAATGGGCTGTAAGTTTCCTATATACAGTATATATGAAGGGGTATGAATACTTTCGCAGTTTCCGAAAAAAGTATAGTAGGTTTTACGTAATTTTATAACATTTATATTTACGCTTTAACTTCTACAAACTTGAATTAAGCACCAATATATAATTTATATTTACGCTTTAACTTCTACAAACTTGAATTAAGTACCAATATAGATTTTTTTTATTTTACTTTTTGCCTAAACTAACCTTTTAATATAGAAATTACATTAGTTTTTCTGTAGTATTTACTTCGCCATAGAATCATTTTATCAGTGTATTAGAATGAATATGTATTGGTCATCAAACACGATTTTAGCTTTTAAAACATCTAAAATATGAATTATGAATTAAAGCACATCAAAATTATAACGCTGTGGTCCACCTGCATCTGATCAGTTTAAAAACCTTTTCATCTTTTTTCAGGTCTCATGTTTTGTGCTAATCATCATTCTAACAATAAAGCAGTAAAACAAACGTACACCTTTCTGAGGTGCATGTTAAAGGAGCAGACTATAAAGAAAAAATAGAACTGCACACTCCCTTAATACCTGTTTATTAGTTACAAATTTTACGCAAAACAAGTAGCCTTTGTCCAGTGTTCAGTTATATTTTTTCGTTATCTAATCATCATTCTACCTGTTTTACATTCTATTTTACAGTAGTGAGATGTGATGATGTATGCTTATGCGTTTTCCCAGAGTATACACATTAAAAAAAGAATATGTGACCCTGGAGCACAAAACCAGTCTTAAGTCGCTGGGGTATATTTGTAGCAATAGCCAAAAATACATTGTATGGGTCAAAATTATCGATTTTTCTTTTATGCCAAAATTCATTAGGACATTAAGTAAAGATCATGTTCCATGAAGATATTTTGTAAATTTCCTACTGTAAATATATAAAAACTTAATTTTTGATTAGTAATATACATTGCTAAGAACATCATTTGGATAATTTTAAAGGTGATTTTCTCAATATTTAGATTTTTTTGCACCCTTAGATTCCAGATTTTCATCTCGGCCAAATATTGTCCTATCCTAACAAACCATACATCAACGGAAATCTTATTTATTCAGCTTTCAGATGTATAAATCTCAATTTTGAAAAATTGACACTTAAGACTGGTTTTGTGGTCCAGGAATATGGTGGTAGTTTTAAAAAGTGTTTATATTAAATTCAAATAGTGATAGATGCTATTCTCACTATGCCTAAATAGAAGTAACGTTATATATAAATAATTTCAGCAATGGTGGGTGAAATTAATGAAAATAGCCAAAAAGGTTGACTATTTGCACTCATACCTTAATTGGCATTGCACAATAGCAGCTTTTATTAACACTACATGTAAAAAGGCATCATTGCATTTAAATTTTTCCCTCAAAATGAGCCATTTAAAAATATGGAACATTAAAAACATGTAACATTATAAAAGCTCCATCTGGAATATTTCAGGTCAAAACGGCATGCATGTTACAATGCTGTATATGCACTGAACATCTGACCAACATCAGGCCTAGGAGAGACATTTTTCCTGGTATAACCTAACAAAAGCCCATAGTTTCTGAATCAGGGATCCATTAAAACCAAGAAAATAGCTGAATTATTTCCCTACATAAGAACCATTTAAGAGAATCACCTGAAAGCTACAACTAAATCACACCATCCAAAATCCAAGGGAATGAATTCATACAGTTTACGATGATTTGCTGAAATATACCAAAATATAAAAGTGCATGACTGAATGACTGAAATTATGAGCACAATACAGGATATTACGTTTGTCATGAAAGTATATCCAGAACTTTTGAAAGCATAATACCGGTAATGTCATACAGTTGGTTCCATATTAGAGACTTTGAAGGAACGGTTCACCCAAAAATTTAATTCTGTCATCATTTACGTCTCGTTTCAAACCAGCATGCATAGAAGTAGCCCATATGGCTTGAGCACTGTTTAGCCTCCCGAAGCCATACATTAGCTTTTGCTCACAAATGTGATTAGTGCTTTCACATATGATATGTGATAACCAATGCTCTTTGGCTTCATTGATGTCAAATATGGTGTGACGTCTTCACAGGACATATTTAAATGGGAATTAAGAAATGCAGTGCAGAGGGAGATTATCAGTGAATAATAACTTGAATTTGCATGCGTTTCTTTAGATTATTCTGCACACAAGTTGACTACTTTATGATGCGTTTTGGTGTTTTTGGGGCTTCACAGCAGCTGGTCACTGTACAGAAGAGAACAGTGAACAATCTGCTGTTCCACGGAAAGCTGTACATGTGTGGATGACTAAATGATGCCTCTCTTCATTTTTGGTTGAACTAGTCCTTTAACAGCTTTCAGCAGCAAAGACAAAAGGCGAAACCACAAGCATTAGCTTCACACTGCACAGTGTCATTTAAAAAGGCACAATGGCCACTTCAATCGATTATCAATGATCAAAATATGTACAAAAATATATATTCAATAGCATGTTCTCTCTCACCAAGCACGACTCAACAGTGCACAGTAGAATTTCTTGCATTCATTTCAAGTGTTCAGCAAAAATCCCTCGCCTTCCAATCACATTATACTTGACAAATGGAAGGAATGACTGCAGAATTTTGTGAGCACACCACTGACAACCCAAACCATCTTTTTCAGCATCCTCCAAAACATCTTCGCCAGGAATCGGTAAATCACTCAGTCAAGAGCTGTTGTCTAAAATGAGCATCGTAAGGCACTAAAGATGGGATGGCGGCCTCTGTGGTGACACAGCCCGGACACTGCAGGCCCAGACTGCATCCACACAGAGAGATGGCTCATCCCTGGAATGTGTCCGAAAAGGGTCCATCCATCAAGGGTCTATCCACTTGGCACTATGGAGCTCCAGTCTCTTGTGTGGACAGTGTGGGTGGCACCGGGACTGTCTGTATGTGCTCTGTGGTGATCTCAGGTAAGACTGCCATTTCAGACAGTTCATGTGGAGCTGCTGATATCTGACTGGACGACGACAGGCCTGAGAGCACTGATGGACTGCAATGCTGTGAGGGGGGAGCCTGTGGCGCACACTGTGCTACTGTGTGGTGTGTGAGCAGTTCAGAAGTGTGGTAATAAGGCAGGAAAGGTCGCTCCACAGCACAGAAACGCATGGCCAGATGTGTGTGCAACAGAAGAAGAGGGAAACGGGAGGTAAAGTAGGAGACAAATTCATCTGGAATGGATCCCAGTGTTTCCTGGACTTCATCGGGTAACTCTCGGTAATGGTGTTTCTAAAGGAAACAACGATGAAATAAATATGAGACAATTTGTGCTTAAAGGGTTAATTCACCCAAAAATGAAAATTCTGTCATTAATTACTCACCTTCATGTCGTTCCAAACCCGTAAGACCTTCGGATCTTCGGAACACAAATTAAAGGCAGGGTATGTGATTTTTCAAAAACGCTTTAGAAAACTGATTCGGGCCGAATCACAAAACAAACTTGTAGCCAATCAGCAATAAGGGGCGTGTCTACTCGTGATGTGGAGGAGAGCGCGTTCAGTGCATGGGACGGACATTAGCCGAGCCGAGCGACAGAAAGATAGAGATGGCGGATAAAAAACAAAAGAGGAAAACGTCTGCGGAACGATAAGGCAAGAAGTAGGACCCGTGTAAATATCGGATCAGCTTTCCAGCGCTGGAGAGAACTCAAGGAGCGGAGGCCTGCGATCGGACGCCAAGGTTGCTTTGTTTCTTCTCAATAGGTGAGTAACACCGTGTCTACAACAGCTAAAGTCTGCCTACACTGGACGCGATCAAACGACCGTTGAAAACCATTTGAAATTTGTGTCAGCACGTCATAAATAGAACCCGGCAGCAGTTTTCTGTCGGGGATTTGTTGCGCCGCGCCGCTCACGTCCGTAGACACGGTGTAACATTGGTTTTGCTTTGTTTCACAGAACTAATCGTTGCCTGGGTTGCGTACGTATATGTGGGGTGGAGCTATCAAAATAGGGGCAAGACCCTTTTGGGGTTAGGGGCGTGTTTGTTTTGGTGATTTCAAATATCAACATTGGCTACCAGAAATCACTTACTCTGCCTTTAAGATATACCCTCCCATAGACAGCAAGTGCCCTTACACGATCAAGGTCCTGTTTACGTAGTTTACGCTTTGATCTGAACAAAAACAACGTATCCGTGTGGCGCAGCTGACACAGAACAGCATACGCCATTTACGTTCAGTGGATACTCTCCAAAATGGCGCCAGGGTGACGCGGAGACGACGAATTGTTGAATAAAGTCTTTTTTTTTTCTTTTGCGCACAAAAAGTATTCTCGTAGCTTCGTAAAATTATGGTTGAACCCCAGATGTCACACAGATTATTTTACAGATGTCCTTGCTACATTTCAAGGTTTAATCACGTGAAATGTTATATTTTCAAGATGGACTAAAACTGTTATTTTAGCTGTGTATTTAAATATACAAATCAATTATTGTACTTGCTTGTTTAACAGTAGCTTTTAGATTTTTTTATCATCAGAATTCAGCTTGTTCTACTTGTACAAGTTACACCCTGACATCAAAAATGTAAAACGTGACAAATAGGAATACCTAACAAAACAACTACATTTCATTTATTAAAAAAAGGAACTTAGTGTTCCCTCTAGTGATGAGAAGTTCGGATAATTTTACTGACTCTCTCGTTCAATCTCGTTCATCAAAATGAACAAATCTTTAATCAAGTCATTTCATTTATTTAAGTGGCTTTAAATGTTATAATTTTAACAGCCAAATTCCCCGAACACATCCACCTATGCAATCTTGATCATATTCCGAATTATGAAATCATTATAATGCATTCAAAGATAATTTACAGGGAACATAATTACTTTACCTTCCGAATCTTTCGTTCATTTGTCACGTGACAGACGCAATGAACGGATCGTTTATAACCCATCACTGGTTCCTTCTACTCTCTTATGCTACTTTTCCATTAATATCGTGCATATTATCTGCTGTAAATACTAGATATTTGTGCTGAGTATCAATAAACTGATTTTCTTTAACAAACGTACCTTGTTTCTCATGGCACGTAAAAGATCTCTGACCGATCCGCCTTTGTATGAACGAAACTTGCGAAGATCTGAAGAACAATTAGCATTTGAATGGTTTGCAGAGCAAACGTTTCACATTAAAGATTCAAATAAGAATAAAAGTAGATAATCATGACAGAACAGCATGCGGTTTAACTAATTACAAACTCTTAGAATTAAAAATGGATAGAAAACAGGCCAACAGTAAGCAAAATTGCAGTAGTGCTCACCGGTCTGTAGAGGCACTGTGATATGTTCCTTCCAATCGCCTTTGACCACCACCCGTCCTCCTCTCTCCAGCTGTCTCACGATTGGTCCATCTAACGGCTCCTTCTCAATTCTATCACTCACATCCTGTCAGTGCAAAAAAAAATAAAAAATTCTGCCATTTATTAGGCATTCTAGAAGAATCTTTAGCGGAGTTTCTCAGAAAAAACTTCTTTAAAGCAGTGATAAACACTTATAATGTTATTTTTACATAAAATTGTCATACTTTAGAAAGAAATGGCCATTTTATAACCTATTTTTGACCCTCTGATTTGAAAACACTGTTTTAAAGGGGTGTGTGTCTCTATTTGTATATAATTTAATCAGTTTAAATATCAGTTGTTTTTTTATGCTACTAAAAGAAAACATTTGAAGTTGACCATTCAGTTGATGGCTTGATTTATTGATGCATAAACAAAAATCAACAATTTTGAGACAGAACTACTACGTGAGTCAGAATCCTAACATTAATGTTAGAAACAATGTTCTTCCACAAGTAAGAACTCTACCACATCTGGAAAACTTAACGGAATCTAAATCTATTTTCATTCCTAGCTAGCTATCCTGTTTGTGTAACTCTCCCTTTACATATGCCAGTGGAAGCCAATAAAAGATGAAGAAGCATTGATCTGTTACAGGGTATATACAGGAATCATGGAGTTAAATTTAATATTTTTTAAGACCTTTTTTTAAGACCCTTTCCATACATTTTAAGACCTCATCGCCACTCCAAGTTTTAACCAGTTACATCGGCGACACTTTAACTTACATTTACTATATATTGATTGTGTATTGAGTAGGGAAAATAAAGCTTTCCGAGCTAACGGGGCAATGAGATCACACAGTATATTCAAAAGATGTATTTGTCACATCAACTCTTATAACTGTCTGCAAACCATAGCTGTTTTGTGGAACACTTCTCATGACAAACATCTGACTGATCAGACAGTTTACCTGTGATTACGGAGTGCTTGATTTGATGCAGACTTGACAGAGTGTCAGTACTGCACCTGATCAAGTCTGAATGATCATGGAAGGTAAAATAATGATCACAACTATTACATTATTTTAATTAAGCATCCCAAGCCCATGCCAGTGAAAAAAACCCCAGCTCAAAGTAGCGCAATTACCATGTCCCAAATATAAAAATGTTATTTCCATCCCTAAAATACATATTTTATAGTCACTGTTATGCACATTTATCATAAACACAGCTCAAATGCTTCCTACTAGTGTGGCCCAAAACATTTAGCACAGTTTTATTACAGGTAGAATGCAAAATGTTTCAGTACAAGCATTTCAACCAAATGTTATTTATGCAAGATTTCAAACCTTTAACCCACTGGGGAAAATCAACCAATGGCAACAGTTTAAAAGCAGCCCAATTTCATGGAAAACAACAACAACCCTGCATCCAACATGAGCTGCAGAAGTCAGATTTGACTGATCACATTGTCAAAAGTAAGGAGAGATAACTGACAAGATGTTGGAGGATTTGCTCATTGACAAATATAAATATAAAGATGTGCTACCTTTACACAGTGTGCGCGCGATCGCGAAATCGAAAGTGAAAGTAAATTGCGACTGTGAGCGCTCATTCAAAAGGGATTTAAATACCCCACATATTGATAGCGGCGCCCTGATGCGCGAAAATTATATACAATATTAGAATGTTTGCGGGAGCGGACACAAAAATCGCGGGAGCAGATCGGAGCATGCGGTAATGGTCAGAAATTCAGGGAGAGCGGGATCAACAAGCCCTGCGCTATCACGCAGTGGCGCAGTCAGTCAGTGAGCGCCGTAACAGATGACGTCAAATCTTACGGGATTCCATAAATAAACTACACAGAACCCCATTATTCGAACAAATATACATAATGAAAAGATGATACAAAATGTAATACCTTGGAAAACGGCATTTAAGACTTTAATACTTATTAAGGGCCTTAATTTTCTCTAAATTGATTTATCAACTTTTAATACTTTTTAATACCC